GCCTCCTCGCCCGCGGTTCGGCGGGCGTGAGGCTGGCTCAGAGTTGCAGTGGGCTGCGGGCGGTGCGTACTGCGCGGCGGTGGCTGGTGGGGCGCGAGCAGTAGACCGTTCCTCCCTCTGGCGGCTTGTTCTTCGCTGCGGAGACCCAGGTCTTCAGCCTCCTCGTACCCCTCCTCGTCCTCGTCGTTTCCCCCCGCCTCGATGGAAGAAGAAGAGGGAGGCGAGGGGAGGAAAGGCGGGAGCTTTTGGGTTCGCGTCGCTGAGGCAGCGCTCCGCTGAGCAGTCTCGTTGCGAGAGCGCCTGCCGGCGAGCGGTCGCGCGGCAGCAGCTGTAGCAAAGGAGCGTAGGTCGGGCCAGATGGGACCTCCGCCGACAAGCGGATGCGCCATCCAGGCGGCCAGAAGGGAGAGGAAGAGCAGAGCGCGCGCGAGCGAGCGCGAGCGAGCGAAGCTCGCGCGGAACGGCTCAGGAGGACCGTCCGAGGGGCTCGGCCCCGCGAGGCGGTGAGGGCCGCCTCGAGCTGAGCGCGGCGCGCTGAGCGGGCGCCGACGAAGGCACCGACCCCGGGACGCAGGGCCCGAGCCCTGTCGAGCGCCTGGGCTCCTGGCCCGCAAGCAAGCGCTCGGGCCGCGCGGCGGTCCTGCTCGAGCGGAGCAGGCGCCGCACCGCGCGGCCAGGCGAAGGGCCAGAGCCTCCGCCACAGGCACGGGCCCAGCAGCCCGGAGCAGCAGCCTGCGCAGGCGCTGCACGCGGCCGTCACCCAGAGGAGGGCAGCGACCGTCGAGAGCAGCCGGGGAGAGGCCCCGCTGCTCAACTCCACCGCCTGCCCGAGGCAGACGGTGGGACAGGCAGAGCCCGCCGAGGGGAGGGGGCAAACGGCCCCCTCACCCCCAGGCGGGTCTGCCTGTTGGGTGGACCAGGCGGTAGCGGAGGCCCCTGGTCCTGAAGCACAGAAACGGGGGCGGCGACGAGCCGCTCGCAGAGCGCGGCCCGCACCCCCCGAAAAAGAATGTCCCCCGCGCCCTGGAGAGCCACCTACGCGATCGCCTGCATAAGGCGCCCGCGCGCGCGGCCGAGGGGGGCGCTTTGGGGCTGAGAAGCTGCAGAGACAGCAAGAGCGCGGGTCGCAAGGAGAATAGAGAGGAGCATGACGACGACGGCGACGACGAAGACGACGACGAAGAAGACGACGACGAAGGCGTCTACGACGAGGACGAAGACATTGACGACGACGAAGACAACGACGACGACGAACACGACGACGACGAAGACGACGAAGATGACGACAATGACGAAGACGACGAAGATGACGACAACGACGACGACTACGACAACGACGAAGTCGACAACGACGACGAAGACGACGGCTACGACGACGACGACGACGACGAAGACGACGACTACGACGACGACGATGACGACCGACGACGACCGACGACGACCGTCGACGACCGACGACGACCGACGTCGACCGACGTCGCAGATACCTGACAGCTCTGACCACGCATCAGCTGGGCAGCCGAAGCGAGAGGACGCAAAGTGCTGAGAGTGCTAGACGACGACGACGAAGAAGCCTACGACGACGACGAAGTCGACAACGACGACGACGACAAGGACGACGACAACGACGACGAACGACAACAACGACGACGACGGCAAAGACGACGACGACGACGACAGCGGCGACCACGACGACGACGACGAAAACGACGACGACGACGTAGACGACGAGGACGAATACGACGACGACGACGAAGACGTCAACGACAACGACGACGACGACGGCGACGACGACGACGAATACGACGACGACGACTAAGACGACGACAACGAATACGGCGACGACGGCAAAGACGACGACGACAACGACCGAGACGACGAAGATGACGACGACGAAGACGACGACGACGAAGGCGACGACGATGGCGACGACGACGACGACGGACGACGACGACGAAGGCGTCTACGACGACGACGAATCCGTAGCCATTTTGGCTCAAGCCAGCTTGGTTCAAGCGTGCTTGGGCAGGCGATGGCGCGGGAGGTTCTGCGGGGCGCGGCTGGTGCCCGTGCCTCGGCAGACCGTCTGGTGCAGAAGTTGGTCAAGCAGCACGCGGAGGCCCGCGAGGATGCCGACTCCCTGAGGCGCACCCTTCGGCAGCTCCTGGGCGGCTTCGAGGATCTCATCGGGGACGCGGAGCTGGCGGACCGCGTGGTGGCGCTGATTCCTGCCTTGCGCGCACTCCTGAAGGGCGAGACGCCCTCGCCCGAGGACGTGCTCAGGCGCAACGTCGCGCTGCACGCCGACGCCGAGGGCGAGAGCGTGGCAGAGGCGCGGCCCGCGCGCCTTCGGCAGATGCAGAGGAGTGCGCGTCTCGAAGCTCGTCTGCAGGGCGTCGGTGGCGCGGAGGTGCTCGGGCAGAAGCTGTGCGCCGTGGCGGGCAACCCGGCCGTGCTTCGCGAGCAGGCTGCCCCGTTCTGGCCGCGGCCCCCCCCGGGAGTCTGGGAGCAGCTGGACGGCGCCGGCTGGGAGAGCAGGACTGCGAGCGGTGCTGCACGCGCGGAGGCGCGGCCGCCGCGGGCGCGGGACGCCTTCCTCACGGTCCAGCGCGTTGGGCCTTGGGAGCCGCTGCCCCCCGTGTGCATCCGCTGCACGTGTGGCGCCGTGGTCTTCGCCTCGGCTGGTCTTCACGCGCGTGCTGACGCTGCGGCTGGTGCTGGAGAGCCTCTGCCGACAGGCTCCGCGGGCTCGGGTGGTGGTCACGTTGAGGCCGTCTCCAGCCCCGTGGGCAGTGCGGCCGACTCGGCCGAGTTCGACTACCAGGAGGTGGGTGCTGCCGACGCTGAAGTGGATACGACCTGCTCGGTGTCGGAGGCGGCGCCACAGGCCAGCACTGCGGTTCTGGCGTACCTGCACGCTCACCCTGCGGCGCTCCTCTCGGGAGGCGGCGGGGCCCTCGCGGCTCCTGTGGCTGGCGGTACTGGTCCTGGCGCTGGTTTCGAGGGCAGCCGCGTCCGCAGGGAGCGAGGTGCAAGCACGGGGCGGCGCGCCCGCCGCGTCCGCTTCGACCTGCGTCCCGTCGTCATCGGCACGGCCTTCGAGGAGGAGTCGGAGGAGGCCCCCCCGCGCGGAGGCGGGGCTGGCGGCGTGGACGAGCCCGTCCGCGGTCTCTGGGCCTTTTTGGACGACCTCTCGGTAGCATCGATCGCCTGTGCTGCTCACGGGCCCTCGCTCGCGCTCGAGAGGCTCCTCGTCCTTGCCGAGGCCCAGGTGCAGGACGGTTAGCCTTGCGTGCGGACGCTAATTCCGTTTGCTCCGTGCATTCGCATTTCTTGTATTTGAATGTGTACGTGAGCTTGCAATCGCGGCGCTTCGCGCCTGGCACCCGTGGGGCCCAGGGTTTTTCGGGGCTCTTCCCCTGCTCCTGGGGCTCCCTGGAGGTGCGGAGGTGGCCGAGGCGGCCCCTCCTCTGGTGGAGGGTGGCCCGAAGCGGCCCCTCCTGGAGCTACCCAGCCTTTATGGCCCCGCAAAGACAAAGACAAAGACGACGACGACGAAGAAGTCTACGACGACGACAACGACGACGACGGCGACGAAGACGACGAAAACCACGACGACGACGACGACGGATGACGACACCGTCTACGACGACGACGACGACGAAGATGACGACGACGGCGCCGACGAAGACGACGACGAAGAAGAAGACGACAGCGACGACGGCAACGGACGACGACGACGAAAACGACGACGACGAAGGCGTCTACGACGACGACGACGAAGACGTTGACGACGACGAAGGCGACGACGACGACGAACACGACGACGACGAAGACGACGAAGATGACGACAATGACGAAGACGACGAAGATGACGACAACGACGACGACTACGACGACGACGAAGTCGACAACGACGACGAAGACGACGACGACGGCGACGACGACTACGACGACGACGAAGACGACGACGACGACGATGACGACCGACGACCGACAACGACGACCGTCTACGACCGACGACGACCGACGTCGACCGACGTCGCAGATACCTGACAGCTCTGACCACGCATCAGCTGGGCTGCCGAAGCGAGAGGACGCAGAGTGCTGAGAGTGCTCGACGACGACGAAGAAGTCTACGATGACGAAGTCGACGACGACGACGACGAAGACGACGTCGAAGACGACGACGACGAGAAGGACGACGATGACGACGACGACGACGAAGACGCCGACGCCGACGACGATGACCGACGACGACCGACGACGACCGACGACGCAGATACCTGACAGCTGTGACCGCGCCTGAGCTGTCTCGGGCGGCGTGATCGGCTGGGCAGCCGAAGCGAGAGGACGCAGAGTGCCGAGCGCGCTAGACGAGCAGTGGGCAGCGACAGGGACTGCAAACGAGGCATGGGAGGGGGTCAGCACGCCGAAGCGGGCGAAGGCAGGCGAAAACATCCTCCTTCAGACGAAACCAGGACGAGGATAAAATCAGGTCAGGATACGTCGAGAATCTCCGAGACTGAAGGACGTCTCGGGCGCCGCGGCCTTCTCAGAGTATTCCAGAACGCTCTGAGAGCGTTCCAGAACGCTCTGGAACGGATTTTGCCTCGTCCTAGCCCCGTCCGACTCCTCCCCCCCGCCGTGCTTCCAAAGAGTGCGCAGCAGCTGCGCCACGGGAGGTGGCGCCGCGAAGCCCACCAGAGTTTCAGGAGCGTCTGCAAGCAGCCCCTTGGGGCTCCACCGCCGGGATGCTTCAGGGGCGTGGGAGTGGGGGAGCGCCAACTTCATCCCGCTCTGGCCGAGATGCCGCTGAAGTCGCCGGAGGGGCTCCCTTCAACACCTCCGTTCGCGGCCTGCCCTCCTCCTCCTCCTTCTTCTCCTCCTCCTCCCCTCCCCCTCCTCCTCCTCCTCCTCCTCCTCCTCCTCCTCCTCCTCCTCCTCCTCCTCCTCCCCGTCCTCCTCGCCGTCCTCCTCCTCCCCCTCCTCCTCGCGGCCTGCCCCTCTGCCTCCAAGGACTTGAGAACGCCAACGAACACGAGGTGGTCCCAGCCCATCTCACGCGCGAAGGCCGAGGAGTCTGCGATCTGGCCCTTCTCATTGATGAAGGCCTTCACCTGGCTCTTCTTGTCCTCCATCGTATCTGCACCCCGGCCTCGGCCCTGGAGCCAAGCGCACTTGAGACTTCGCGTGGAGACGGAGCAGAAGGGAGGAACGGCAGCAGAAGCTGCGTGCTTGTTTGTGCCAGTTCGGCATGGGACGTTGTACTGTGGATTGCTTCCTGCATTCGTGTTAGAGCATATGTGGGTTTGTTCGCTTGCTCGATGTATTGAACTCTTGCTTGGATCTTATGTCGGTTATGTGTGTTACTTGCTACTTGGCTGCATGTCTGCGCATACTCTTTAATTTGTATGGTTGTTTGTGATGTTGCGATTGGTTTGGCTAGCGCCTCTCGGTCACTCCGTCTCGCCGTTTCTCTGTATTTCTACCTCTTTGTCTCCTCTGCCTCATCTGCCTTCACTGTGCATCCACCCCTCTCTCTCACTCTCTACCTACTTCTCTCTCTCTTTCTGTCTGTCTGTCTGTCTCTCTCTCTCTCTCTCTCTTTCTCGGACCTGCAACCCAGTACAGCACATAGGCAGCGAAGCAGGCGGGGCAAGGACCTGTCTGCGCAAGCACAAACATGGCGTTTCATGTATACCAGGGAAGGGGCCCAAGGTACGGGGTGGACATAGAGCCTGCCGGTGTGGAGCACCGTCTGGCAGAAATGCGCATCGTGCCTCGCAAGCCTGGGAAGAAACGGGTACGCATAGGAGCCTTACGTCACCGACAGCACGGAGCCTTACAAAGTCGGGGTTTGACTTTCATGCTCCCTGCGACGGCTCTCTGCCTGGCTCGTTCTCTGCCTGTTTCTACATGTCCCTGCCTTTTTCTATATGTAGCTGTCTGTCCGTGTCTGTGTATTTGCTGAAAGATACACCGCACATCATCGGAAACTGGTTGGCCATTCTCGCCCCAATTTGCAAACTTGGGTCCAGCCTCCTGCTCTTCTCAACACCATGTTAGCCAAAGGGGGCCTCAAACAGTGGTGCAATATATGTTGCGTGTGGTGCACTCTATGTCGTGCAATCTATGTGAGGTGCAAGCTATGTGGCGCAAGATATGTGGTGCACTCTACGTCGTACAATATATGTGGTGCAATCCAAATGATGCAATCTAGATGGTGCAATCTGCGTGGCGTAAGCCGTGTGGTGCATTTCATGTGGTGCAACCTGGGTGGCGCAATCTAGGTGGTGCAGTCTACATTTAGCATTTAATGTTGAAAAAATAACTTACAATTGTTAGCTCCAGTGCCCGCACAATCATCCCACCCACCCGCAACTTGGTTTGCAAAACCCATACGGCGGCGATTGCGATGAGTGCTTGGAGTTGGCTGGTGCGTTTTTGGGGCCGCGCCAGCCCGCGCATGCTCGCGCGCACAGCGGCCAGCTAGTTTGGCGCGACCGACGCGGCCGCGGTGGCGCTGACCGCTGGGCACTTCCCACCGGTATCCTCAATGCGAGTCGATAAGTTGGGCGGGCGCGGAATCATTGCGACGTCGACAACGGTGCACAAGATGATGATCGTAGCGATGGTGGCGACGATGATGCCGATGACGGCGGCGAGGCCGATGACGGCGCCGATGCTGATTACGCCGATGACGAGGATGGTGTCCTCGCGTCGGTGATGAAGGTTTCGAAAGAAGCTCGACATGCACGCGCTGCCGACGTGCGCGGGTAGCCCGCATGGGATCGTGCCCCACCAGCACGCGCGCGAGGGCGTTCGAACGATTTCGACATGCGGCGCGGGAGGCCTGTTTGGTCGAATGCGGCGAATCTGTCTGAAACATATACGGATGTCGGAAGCATTCGCAAGAGCGCGCGCGCAGATGTGTTTGAAAACTGTTGTTGACAAACCAACTGCTTATATGCGTTTCCAAGACACTCGATGTTGAAATCCGTACGAGACCCGAAGTTGTTGGGAGAGTTCGGCATGCGCGCGACGACGCGCGCGCGTGCACTTCGTTCCATATGTCGCTAGGGGTTCTTGCGACAGCACGCGCGCAAGGAAATTCGAACGATTACGACATGCGCGCGCGAGAGGCACGCGTGGTAGCATGGAGTGAGCATGTGGGAAAAACTACATGTCTTCACAATTCGCAAGAGCGCGAGCGCATGTGATTTGAAAACTCCTGTTGCGAAGCCTTTTGCTTTTACGTGTGTGTTCGGGGCAATCGATTTCGAAATGTTTACGGAAACTAAACTGGTCGAAGGATTCCTGCATGCGCGCGCGACGACGCAAACGCATGCATTTCGTCATTTTTTAACCAGGTACTATTGGCAATTAGCGGGTGCGCGCGCGTATAACACTTTTGCAAAAAGGATGAGGGGGTGGAGGATAAAGGACTGCCTGGGATAGTATGAATTCAAATAACGGATGGACGATTCGGGCAAACTCAAATGTAAATTGCGATGCCCAAAGGCGGACTCGTAAGTCAGGGGGAGGTGGATCCTCAGATTCTCGTGCGAATGAATACTTACGCGGCGCATTTGTTCCCAATGCTGCTCGCGCAATCACCCCACCCACTCGGCCGCAACTTGTTTTGCAAAACCCATCCCGCGGCGATTGCGATGACTGCTTGGCGCTGGCTGGCGCATCGCTGCGGCCGCGCTAGCTCGCGCAGGCTCGCGTGCAGAGCGGCCGGCTAGTCTGGCGCGACAGACGCATTCGCGGCGGCGCTGACCGCGGCGGGCTTCCCAGCGCGCCCCACAGGCCGCGCTGACGCGCGGGCGCTTCACTGCGAGCCGGCGATTCGGGCGGGCGGGTATCATGGCGATGACGATACCAGCGACGCCGGCGGCAATGATGACGATGACGACGGCAAGGCACGTGACAGCGCCACTGCTGATCACGCCGATGACGATGCTGGTGCTCACGTGTCGGCGATGGAGGTTTTGGAAGGATATCGACGCTCGCGCGTGGCCGACCGGCGCGAATACAATAGCCCGCGCAGTGTCATTCGACAGGGGTCGCACCCCTCCCCCCCCAGCAAGCGCGCAGGGGCGTTCGAACGATTCCGGCATGCGCACATGAGAGACTCGCTAGGTCGAATCTGAGGAGCACGTTGACGACCCGATGGTTTTTCATAAGACTTCGCAAGGTCGCGCGCGCACTTGAGGCCCAAAAGGTTCCGACAAATCTCTGCACGCGCGCGCGCGACGACGCAACGCGCGCGCGTGGACTGTGTCATATCTGTTGCACGGAGGTCTTGAAAACCTATGATTTCTGATCAGCGAGCAAGCGCCTGATTTTGCGACAGCCAGGAGGCGGGGGGCAAAGAACGATAGGGCCCCCTGGGGCCGTCCGAACTCATATTTAAGGATGGGGCAGAATCATACGCACATTGCACCATCCCAAGGAGAAACAACAAACCTGGAGAGGGGGGGGGCCAGGTCCTAATCCCATGTCAGAACGAGAGAATATGTGGCGCAACTATTTTCTATTCGCAGCGAGTTGTCAAGCCCAGGGATCGCGCGACCATCCCGTCCGCCCGCCTGCAGTTTGGTTTGCAAACCCCCCGAGATGCGGCAATTGCGACGCTTGCCTAGCGCTGGCTGGCGCGTCGCTGCGGCAGCGCTAGCGCGCGCGAGCTCGCGCGCAGCGCGGCCGCATAATTAGTCTGGCGCGAACGACGCGGCCGCGGTTACGCTGGCCGCTAGGGCCTGCCCATCGCGTCTCACAGGCCGCGCTGACGCGCGGGCACTTCAATGCCAGTCGGCGACTCGGGTGGGCGCGGTATCATGGCGGCGCCGACAACGGCAGGAAGGATTCTGATAAGAGCGACGATGGCGAGCGACGATGATGACGATGACGACGGCAAGGTGCACGACGGCGCCACACTTGACTACGCCGATGACGATGATGGCGCCCACGCGTCGGCAATAAAGGTTTTTGGGCGGATTTCGACGCGCGCCCGCGCGCGGCCGACGGGCGCGAATGGCCCGCGCGCTGTCATTTGACAAGGATCGCGCCCTCCCCCCGGCGTAGGCGCGGAAAGGCGTTCGAATGATTTCGGCACGCGCGCGCGGAGAGGCCCGCTTGGTCGCATTCGATGAAAATGTTGAAACACACATGGTTTTCTTACGAATCCGCAGGAACGCGATCGCATACCTGTCTTTGGCAAGTGACGTTGCAAAACCACTTGTTGTTTGTATGTTTCCGGGGCCTCGATCTTGGAAACCCCAGCGCTATCTCTGGTTTTGCCGGATTTCGAAATGCGCGCGCGACGACGCGCGCGAGTGCACTTCGTCTCATTTTTTGCAATGGGTTTTTGAAAACAAACGGCCCTCGATAAAAGAGTGCGCGCGGAATGTTTCCTGCGGGGGATGTGGGGATGGCGCGGGGGGGGGGGGCGATGCCGGCTGGGATGGCGTGAGTTCAAAATTAGAACGAAAGATGCGGCATCATCACATGGAAATTGCACATTCCCAGGGCGGGGGGGCAATCCTATCCTGGAGGGGCCGGGGAGGGGGGGAAATCGTAACCCCTCTTTAGAAAAGGAGAATCTATGGTGGTGCAATTCATTTTTACAAACAAGTCGCGCAATTACATTCTCTTGCAAACATCCCACCGACCCACCCGCAACTTGGTTTGGAAAACCCATGCGGCGGCAATTGCGATCCGTGCTTGGCGTTGGCTTGTGCATCTCTGCGGCAGCGCCAGCCCGCGCATGCGCGCGCGCGCAGCGGCCAGCTAGTTTGGCGCGACCGACGCGGCCGCGGTGGTGTAGACTGCTGGGCACATCCCAGCGGGCGCTTCAGTGCGAGTCGGCGACTTGGGCGGGCGCGGTATCAGCGCAGCGTCGACAACGGTAGACACAACGATGATAGTAGCGATGCTGGTGGCGATGTTGACAGCGACGACGGCACGGCCAGTGACGTCGCCGATGCTGATGACGCTGACGACGATGACGGCGTCCTCGCGTGGGTAGCGCATGTTTTGGAAGGAGTTCGACATGCGCGCGCGGCCGACGCGGGAGAGTGGCCGCATGGTATGATCTCTGAAACGGGTCGTGCCAGCCCAGCACGCGCGCAAGGGCGTTCAAATGATTTCGGCATGCGGCGCGAGATGCCCGTCTGGTAGAATTGCACGCACATGTTAAAGGACCGCGCATGAATTTTGTCATACTTTTTGAAGGAGAACAAAAAATCTCACGACAGCACGCGCGGGAAGGAGTTCGAACGATTGCGATACGCGCGCGAAGCCCGCTTGGTAGCATGTTATGAACATGTTGAGAAAGCCGATGGTCTTCTTAAGGATTCGAAAAAGGCGCGCTCGCAAGCTGCTGTTGACATCCCTGTTGCGAAACCATGTTTTTTTTTATTTGTGTGTTGGACACTCGTTTTTGCAACCCTTACGACACCTAAGCTTTGCGAGAGATTTCGGCATGCGCGCGCGATGACGCGCGCGTGTGCACTTCGTCATTGCTTGTAACGGAATGTTTGGAAACTGTGCGATTGTTGATCAGCGAGTGCGCGCGCATAGTACTTATGCAGAGGATGACGGGGGGGGGGTCGATACTGGCTTGCCTGGGATGGTACGAATTCAGAGTTACGATGGACGATGGGGCAGCATCATATGCAAATTGCCATACGAAACTGGGTACTGATAGTTCTCTGGGGAGACTTGATGGATGTTCGCAATGAGTTGTCGACCCCACTGCTCGCGCAATCACCCCGCCCGCCCACCCGCAATTTGGTTGGCAAAACCCATGCGGTGGCGATTGCGATGAGTGCTTGGCGTTAGCCAGTGTATCTCGGCGGTCGCGGCAGCCCGCGCACGCTCGCGCGCGCGGCGGCCAGCTTGCCTGGCGCGGCCGACGCGGCCGCGGAGGCGCTGGCCGCTGGACACTGCCCAGCGGGCACTCCAGCGCGAGTCGGTGGCATGGGCGGGCGCGGCATCAGGGCGACGTCGACGACGGCGGGCGCGATGTGGGGGTGTCCCACGCAGATCCCCCCAAAAAGGCATCGCCACCCCAGAGGGCTGCCCGCCTTGGCCTTGGCGTGCGCCGCCCCATCCCGTCCATTCCGCAGGCCCGGGGGGGGGGGAGGTCACAAGCGCCTGCCGCTTCGATGCAAGCCTTGTGCCAGGGTGGCTACAAGGCGGCCCTCGTCTATACAGAACCGCACGCTTGCAGACCTGCCCTCGGCCGAAGGGGGCGCCAGACCAGATCGGCTCGCGACCGTTCCTTCAGCGCCACGCCACATTCGGTGCAGTAAACCCGTACAATAAGGATGCGCGGTAAGGATGCAAGGGCCTTGGACGGCGAGGGCCAAGTTAGCGTTTTTTGAACGAGGTTGGCCAACAAGAGTCGCTAAGGATGGGCCGAAGGGGCAAACACGCAAGGGTACCATTGGGAAGGCTGTCCATCCTTACTCTGCGGGTTGACCGTAGTCTCACTGCACCACCCCGCCAACCCCCTCCTGTCACCCTTTGCTCTCCCCGTTCTGGATGCTCAGTGCAAGTGCGCGGACGTAGGGCAGCGAAGAGCGCGACCGCGCGCGTTCGACTAAGCTGCCCGCCGCCGCGCAACCATCGCACGCTGCCCCTGACTCTTTCTGCGAATCCCGTCGCACTGATCTGTGGTGTGACGCCGCCGGAAGCGAGACCCGCCGAGGCGCAGCCGGGCCACATCTGCCGCTGCTGCATCAGCAAGGCTGGCTCGTGCCGCCTGCGATCCTAGATGGCCTCTGGCGGCGGCTTCATCACCCGTCACGCGCACCCGTCGGCGGGCAGGGAGAAGCGCCTGCCCGAGAGGGAAGCCAGATAGCGCCAGCGAACAAAGGGGGGGAGGGGGCGGACGGGAAGCGTAAGGGAGGGGAGGCGGAACAGGAGCGGGAGGAAGGAGGAGCATCCGCAGCAGGAGGATAACCATGGGGGAATAAACACGGAACGAGGCATGCGGAGATCCGCCACCGTGCCGCCAGGCACTGAGCCCCTGTCTGGAACAACGAATGTATTCTTCAAGAGGCGCACAGCCCCAAGTTCCGCGCAGTCCTGGGCGCTCTTGGGGCGCGGCGGGTGTCCCCACGTGACTCTCTTCCGGGAGCACAAGGACCCCCGAACGGCCCAACAGGTTTCCAACAGAGGCCCCCAAGACGGTCCGAGGAGGGCCCCGAGACAACCCAAACCTTCTCCAAGGCGCCCAAGACGGCCCTAAGGCGGCCCAAGAGGCCCCCCAAACGCCCCAAGAGGGCTCCAAGAGGCCCCGCAAGAGGGTCCCAAGAGGCAAATCACGTCTTGATGTCTTTGCCAGTCGAAGGGTTTTAGCATTCCTATACGTGTTCGGACTTCCCGCGCTCTAAAGATGGCCCCAGAAGCCCCAAGATCGCCCCAAGACGGACCAAGAGGACTCCAAAGGCAGCAAGACAGCCTTAAAGGGCCTCAAGGCAGCCCAAGAGGCCTCCAAGAGGGGAAATTCGAACTGACGTTTCGAGCCCTCCGCCCTTGGATGGTCCCCGAGACCGCCAGCAGGCCCCCAAGAGGCCCACAAGAAGCTCCAGAAGGCCCCCCAAAGGCCCTAACGAGGCCCCGAGACTACCCCAAACCGCCTCCTAGAGGCTGCCGAGTGACGACGGACGTATATGATCGCGGCCCTTTCATGTCGACAGGATTGCCAGTAGAAATAAAACACTCGAAACTTGGGGTTGCAAAATACTAGTCTCAGACGTGAGAAGTCATCTCTCGGAAGGAGCGCCTCATAAGATGGACCAAGCTCTCCGAAGTTGGCAATACGCCAGAGCTTTGAGACCCAGCCCACGAGATGGCATGCTTCCCGAACAAGCGCTTGCATTTTTTGATTCTTACACGGAAAACACGACCACCAGCAACTTTCCACAACCCTGAGACCCCAGACCGCCCATTGATTCCTGGCGTGGGAACATCACGCTTCCATCGTAAAACCATCGACACCCAAGAAACCTGGTGCACCCTGGAGGCAGGCAGGGTGTTTCTTGGCATTGGCTTCCACTGTGAACGATCATGAAGCACATGGAAAAAACTGATGTGACTTCTCATGTCCGCCCTGGTGCTTCATGCCTGGTACCCTTATGTCAGGTGCCTTGGGGCTTGTGCCCTTCTAGCTGGTGCCAGCCTTCCGTAACCATCCTGGCTCGAGCATGCCTCGATTGCTCGAACCTGTGACCTCCTCGATTCGACTAGGGGATCGACTCCAGAGTTGATTTACCCGAAACTTGCATTGTCCGTCGGATGGGCGAAAACTACGTAGAGAGCTCCCTAGATCTCGGAGCATCTTACGCATTTCCATAGACTCGACGGAGAATCAATTCTGGGGTGAATCAAGTCTGAGGTCGATCCCTTACTCGATTGACAAGCTGTCACGTGGCGGGCGTCAAGTCAAGCACGTCCTCGCTGTTGACCGGCTGCCGCATGAATCCCGAGGAAAGTGAGCACCGCGACGTGCCTGCTGGCTGGAAACTGTATTCCCAGACGCGGCAGCCAGGCGGTGAGGCAAGTGCGATGCTTCCGTACGTGCACGGCTGGACTGAGAGCGCGCAGACTGTGGGCGTCCGCCAGATCGCGTGGGTGGCTCCGTGTTGCTTACGAGCAGCACGGCCACGGCCTCTCGCTCGAGGAAGACGGGGCCCAGCGGCCCGCGACCACGCGTGGAAGACCAACGGAATGTTTGGCCTCATCGACGTGCCAATGGTCGAGATGGTCAAGACCATGTGCAAGAAACACAGGCTACCGCTCGTCATCATCGAGCGCAGCCTTACCGACCCCTACCGTGACCAGCACCTTCCGTGACGTCATCCTCGCCTTCCAAGCTTCCCTCCGGCCGCGTACAGACGTTTCGGGGTGAGGCGAGGGGGCCGTCACGAAGAGGACGGTTTGCTAGGAGTCGGTTAGACCGCCTCTGACATCAAGGCCCACCTCGCCATCGCTCGGACGTCCATTCCCCGTGCATTTTTCCGTCTGCGCAATGTCCGCAAGATGACCTAAAGGGCTCCTCGATGCTCCTCGCATCGAAAGAAGTTGGCGGCGAGCGAGGGGGGAAAGTGAGAAGGAGAAGGTCTTCTCAGAAGGCCTGGGTTTTCTAAGCCTTCCCCAGAACAACAGACTTCTCAGAAGGCGCGAGGGCTTCTGAGAAGTCCCGTCGCCTTCTGAGAAGGCCTTCTCCTTCTCATTTCCCCCCCTCGCTCGCCGCCGAAGAATGGACACGTCCGAGCGATGCCAAGCCAGAGCTGGAGCGGCGCGGGCGCCATGCACGCCGTGCGCCACATCGTCGAGGCGTGCAGGGAGGGCGGCATGCCACACGCCTGCGGCGCACACGTCGTGCCGGAAGCCTCGGCAGAGGCCGTCCACCCGCGGTGCTGCTGCTGCTGCTGCGACAGCTGCGTCAGACGCTGCGTCGGCGCACGCTACGGGTGCTGCGCGGCGTCGAGGGACTGGACCAACAAGCAGGGCTGGAACCCAGGGCACAGCTTCGGAGGAGGCAGTTGCAGGAGCGTAAACTTTAGGAACTCCGAGTGGACCTCCCCCGAGAGGTCCGCGCGGAGCTCCTGAACTGCCCAAGCGTCGCAGTCATGCCGGACTACGACGAACTACGACTGCCCAGCGCGTCGCCATCATGCCGTCCTCAGCCAGGGAACGCCACGCGAAGGACAGCGAGGCAAGGTCGCAAGCATCCAGCACGGCGTGCCGCAAAAATGGGGTGGTGTCGCGTGTTTCTTGGTCGAATGTATGCCACCTGTTCTAATTTTTGGACGCCCGAAATGGGTACGGAAACAATGGGCACAATGCCCAACAACACATGTTGTCCCAAACCAGCAGCGGCCGCTGTTGGGCAGGCGGCCCCCTGCCTCAAATGGACACAGGCCGCGGCGGCGCGGACAGCGAGTCCTGCTCGAAGTGAACAGGAACTGCCGTTGGGCATCGTGCCCGTTCTTTCCGTGCCCCTTTCGCTCGTGCCGACAATCCGAGCAGCTTCCGCCGAGGACCGCAGGCCGTGGAAGAGCCGCGCCGGCACCTCCATGGTCAGCCCGTGCCTCCCGGCAGGCGGGCGGCAGCACGGCGGCCTGGCCCGCGATCCTGCCCGAAGATATCGGCGTGGGCGTCCCCGGCCGGGTCCTCCGGGGCGGCGAGGACGCCATGCGCGACTGCCTTACCACGCCACCCCCAAGCCAAACCGAAGACCCAAACTTCGGGCCGGCGGGGGTACGGGCTCCACATGTTCCCCGGCGCCCCTCCCACTGGGAGTGGGGGGCAAGCTGGGGCCTTCGGATCGGGTTGGGGTGGCTTGGTTGGTGGTGAACGTCGTCGAAGAAGCGGCTATGATACTCCAGTTGTCGCGAGTTCAGGTTCCCGCCCAGGCGCGCAATGGCTGGTGCCCTACGGGTGGTGCCGTATGACGGGTGCCCTTTCGATTCAGTTGTCGCGGTTTCTGGATCCTCCTCCTCCTCCTCCTCCTCCTCCTCCTGCTCCTCCTCCTCCTCCTCCTCCTCCTCTTCCTCCTGGCGCCCCATTGCTGAATCCTGATAGTGGCCAGCTGTCGCGAATGAGTTTTTGTTTCTCGCCCTGGGGTCCTCCCGTGGACCGTGCCTTATGAATGCCCCGACGGTCGCGATTTCTCTGTTTCCCGCCCTGCTGCCCTATGGCGGACGCCAGTTGATGCCCTGGGTTGTGTTTTTTTTGCTTTGCCGCCCCGTTGCCCAGTGGCTGGTGCTCGATGCTGGCGCTCTCTATGGCCGACTCCCGATCCGAACGGGGGGGGCCAGTGCCCTGTGATGCTATAGGTGTCGCGACTCATCTCCCCCTCCTCTTCCTCCTCCTCCTCCTCCTCCTCCTCCTCCTCCTCCTCCTCCTCCTCCATATGCTGTGGGCCCTATGGCTGGTGCCCTATGGCTGGTATCTGTCTAATTCATCTGTCGCGATCTCTGGTTCCCGCCCTGGTGTCCTCGGGCTAGTATCCCGTGGCTTGTGCCAATCGTGCCATAGTTGTCGTGATGTTTGGGTTCCCGCCCTGGTGCCGACGGGCTAGTGACGTGTGGCCGGATCCAGATGATGCACCAGGTATCACGGTTGATGGCTCTGGCCATGGCTTGCGCCGTCTGATGCCCCAGCTATCACGCTGTATGATCTCCGCCCTGGTGCCATATGGCTGGCGGCCTGCTGCAGGCGACATAAGGTGCTTCAGTTATCGCGACTTCTGTCACAAGACCAGGTGCGCGATGGCAGGTGCTAGATTGCTAGAGGCATGTGATGCTTCACGTGTCGCGATATCAGGCTCAAGCCCTGATGCACTGTAGCTCGTCGCGATGTCTGGATCCCGCCCCGATGCGCTATGGCTGGTACCTTCTGTATGGTGCCCAGTGACGCTCCCAGCGTCGCGACTTCTGGCTCAAAGCAATGGCGCTCTTTGGCTGGTGTCCTATGGTGCACCAGGTTGTCGCGTCTTCTGGTTCCCAGCCTGGTGTTGCATGGCTGGTGTCCCATTGTTGGCGCCCTATGGAAATTTTGTTTTCGCGATGTATGATTCCCGCCCTGTCGCACCATGGCTGGTGCCATATGGCTTGTGCCCGATGACGCTCCAATCGTGGCGGTTTCTGGTTGCTGCCCTAACGTCCTATGGTTAATTGCGCTATGGTTCTCCAACCGTCGCGACTTCTGGTTCCCGCCCTGATGCGCTTCGGCAGTGTCCACGATTATGTTTGGGTTGTCGCGATTTCTGATTCAAGCTCTCATGTGTTAGGAGTGGGCAGAGACGAAGAGCGCTGGACAACTGGAGCTCGCAACTGCGCGACAAGCACAATAGCGTGAAACAGCAAATCGCCCAGCAAAATTGGAACGCCGCACAAGCCGACCTGCTACAGGCAAGACTACACAAGGAACTGCGGCTCGGGAGACAAACAGGAGTGTACAGAGCCAGAAGGGTCAGCGAGCGAGCGAACCTCGAGGAACCCACGATGATCCTGCATCTACCTCGCCAGCACGCCGAACTCGCGCCGCAACTCCATCGCAGACAAGGTCGGGCTCCACGACTGGAACCCTTGCATCCCACCGCGGGAGAAACGTTAGAAATGCGATCGCGCCTCACAGGCGCTCCCCGTCAGGGCGTCAGCCCGCGAGCACCCCCCCCGAGGCGAGCAACCTTTCCCTCCTCTTCTTCCTCCTCCTCCTCCTCCTCCTCCTCCTCCTCCTCCTCCTCCTCCTCCTCTCCTCCTCCTCCTCCTCCTCCTCCTCCCCCCCTCCTCCTCCTCCTCCCTCCTCCTCCTCCTCCCTCCTCCTCCTCCTCCTCCTTCTCCTTCCCCTCCCCCTCCCCCTCCTCCTCCGCCTCGTCCTCCTCCTCCTCCTCCTCCTCCTCCTCCTCTCCCTCCCTCCTCCTCCTCCTCCTCCTCCTCCTCCTCCTCCTCCTCCTCCTCCCTCCTCCTCCTCCTCCTCCTCCTCCTCCTCCTCCTCCTCCTCCTCCTCCTCTCCTCCTCCTCCTCCTACCTCCTCCTCCTCCTCCTCCTCCTCCTCCTCCTCCTCCTCCTCCTCCTCCTCCTCCTCCTCCTCCTCCTCCTCCTCCTCCTCCTCCTCCTCCTCCTCCTCCTCCTCCTCCTCCTCCTCCTCCTCCTCCTCCTCCTCCTCCTCCTCCTCCTCCTCCTCCTCTCTCCTCCTCCTCCTCCTCCTCCTCCTCCTCCTCCTCCTCCTCCTCCTCCTCCTCCTCCTCCTCCTCTCCTCCTCCTCCTCCTCCTCCTCTCCTCCTCCTCCTCCTCCTCCTCCTCTCCTCCTCCTCCTCCTCCTCCTCCTCCTCCGCCTCCTCCTCCTCCTCCCTCCTCCTCCTCCTCTCCTCCTCCTCCTCCTCCTCCCTCCTCCTCCTCTCCTCCTCCTCCTCCTCCTCCTCCTCCTCCTCCTCCTCCTCCTCCTCCGCCTCCTCCTCCTCTTGCTCCTCCTCCTCCTCATCATCCTCCTCCTCCTTCTCCTTCCCCTCCCCTCCCCCTCCTCCTCCCCTCGTCCTCTCCTCCTCCTCCTCCTCCTCTCCTCCTCCACCTCCTCCTCCTCCTCCTCCTCCTCTCCTCCTCCCTCCTCCTCCTCCTCCGTGGTCATGCTTTGAGTTCCGTCAGGATCAGACACGGCTGTTCATGCGACCCCTCTTTGCGAATAGGGGATCGACTGCGGAGTTGCTGTACCCCAAGAACTGGTCCCGTCGAGCCCATGGGAAACATACGTAGAATAGTCAGCAACTCTACGGGTCATTTTTCCATAGATTCGACGGGAAATCAATTTTGGGGTGAATCGATTATGTAATCGGTCCCCCACTCGATCTTTGCGCAGCACCGTGACAAAAAAGGGGGAGGGGCGAAAAGAGGTGACACCGACGCACGCACTACACTGGCAGGAGCGCGTCCGAAACCTTGATGGTCTCACAAAGCGATCGACCGAACCTGCATGATCCTTGCAGAAAGCTGGACACCGTGCCGTCAAAGACGAGACACGCGAACGAGAGACACCGTTCGAAATGTATCGCGGGTGGTGGAAACGCAGCAGCGACAGGTCTTGTCACGAACGCAGCCGGCGCGGCCAGGAACGCGTGCTTATCGCGGCGGCGGCCCCTGCGACGTGCTTGCAGGGGCACTGGGACACACAAATAAATACACTCGAGTAACAGGATTCCCCATATTTTCCCATATTTTCTGGGTTGCTGTCTTCCCCCCCCCTGCCCATATTTTCCCATGTTTTCCTGGGGAGTCGACGGTTCGTTGTGTCCGTGTGCTCTTCCCCCTCCGGATTCTCGCGGCGGCGGCCCCTGCGACGTGCTGTGCCTCGCAGGCCGAGGGCGTGGCGCTCTGCCCTCCGGCGGGGCGGGGGGCCAGGAAGCGCTCGGAGCGCCGATGCGCGGTGGCCGGGGCGCGCTTGGCGCCTCGCGCCGGAGCGTGGTGGGCCAGAACGGGCGGCGCGACACGCCGGGCAAAAGATTCCTGAGCGCAGCGGTGCAGCGGCGCTTCCTGGAAGAGGTCAGCCCCGTGCGGCCCACTCCGACGGAGTCGAGCTGAGGGGATCCTGTCAACGATGGCGAAACCACTGGGGAACCAGGGTGCAGGGCCCACGTCAACGACGGCGAAACCACTGGGGAACCAGGGTGCTGGCTGGGATGCCCGCGGAATCGCACCGCGAGCACCAGGCCCACGTGCCAGCCCCACCAGCTGCTGACCACAAACATTAAGGCCCATCTTAGGCGAGCATGCTCTGTGACACGCTAGGAGGCGAGTGGGATATAGCTCCGAGGCGCTGGTGAGAGAAATTGACACGGGCACCAGACGCGAACAACTATTCCGGCAAGGGTATGGCCACGGCCCTCTCAGGCCGTGCATGTCGGTGGTTTTGCAGCCGAGGCAGAGACAGAGACAGAGAAACCTGCTCAAGTGCATGGCGGTACTCCTCCTGATCCTGCTCGTGCCCCTTCTCCTCATGCCGCCGTCCCTCCTCCCTGAAGAGACCAGGAGACGGCGGAGCGCAGGCAGAGAGGCAGAGAGAGAGAGAGCGAGGGACGGAGAGAGGGACAGAGACACCCGGCCTACAGCGAGAAGACGTCGTCCTCCATCTCCTCCAGACAGCGCGCCTCCGCTCCCCAAAGAAGGTGTAATGAACCCGTAGGTTTAGGTCGGGCTGTCCTCCTACAAACGGATTTTCGGCAAAAAGTAATCAAAGAAGACATTCAAACCATGATCGAAAAACACTAGAAAAATCGTCCCCAGACTTGTTTTTGAATACTGTGTTTGACTATTCCTCCTCTAGAGGGACGCGCCCGACTTAAACCGCAGGTCCCCTGCCACTCCCCTGTCTCCCCCACCCCGTCGCCTGCAATCATCCTGCGAGGGCGCACGCAAAGGGAGGGGGGGAGGGCACGCCGGCAGCCAGGCAGACAGCACCTGGAAGCGAGAGGGGAAGGAACGGCAGGATGAGCATCGAGGGGCGGAGCAGAAGGTGGAGCAGGCAGAGAGGAGGCAGGAGAAGAAGAAGAAGCATGCGGGGATGGGCAGAACCCCCCCTTTCGCAAAACGTGGTTTGGTGGAAGCGACCTGGGGCCCAAACCTGGCAGGCGCAAGAAGCCTGAAGCATGACGGCCGCGGCGCCCCCCCGAGAACCCAAAACGGACAATTCACGCATCGACGTGTCAGGGTGGGGGTCCTGCCCACCCCCGAAGCATCAGCAGCAGGGTGGGCGCAGCTGGGATATGATCGCACACGGGTGGGGCCGGGCAGACCGCCCCTGCACTGGCCCGCCAGCCGCAGCGGCACTGGGAGGCAGACGCGCGGCAGCGACGCGCCCGCGGCCCGAGCCCCCGGGAGAGCGCGCCCGCCCTGAAGGTTGTCCCCGCTCTCGCGGCAGCCGGGGCCCCCGCCTCCGCCGCCCGCCGCCTGCCTCCCCCCCGCAATTCCTGGACTTGCTTTGCGCCGGCGGCGGGGCAGAGGTGCTGCTCCCAGAGGGCGGCGATCCGGGGCGACCGGTACGCGAAGTGGCCGGCGTGGAGGGGACCTTCCCAGGCCCAGAGGTGCGACGCCCTGACTCCGGGGCGACCGATACGCGAATTGGCCGGCGTGCAGGGGACCTTCCCAAGCCCAGAGATGCGACGCCCTGACTTTTCCCCTGCGCGGCCTCCGGTCCCGACCCTTTCTCCGGGGCTGGCCTCGCATCCAGAATCGTTTTTGTTGACGGCCCCGAGGCCCGGCGAGGGCCCCTGGAGGCCGAATACCGCGAACCACCTCCGCTCCGATCTTTTCACGACGCGATCATGTCTGGGATTGGCCGCCCGCCCGTCCTACTCGGGAGGAGGCCTCGGGAGGCAACCTGAAGCAGCAGAAGCACCCTGGGAAGACCTTCGGCCAGGCGTGCCTTCCCTCCCTCTCCTCAGCCTCCTCCTATTGTTTCCCCTCCTCCTTCTCCTCCTCCTCCTCCTCCTCCTCCTCCTCCTCCTTCTCCTCCTCCTCCTCCTCCTCCTCCCCCATCCATGTCGCACAAATGGAGGGCGGGCCGTTCTAAAAATGGGGTTCTCGCCTTGGCGCCGCGCACACTCGTCTTAAAAAACTTACAACCGTTTACACGGATGGAAGGCAGGCCGTTTTTTGTTCGCATGCGTTTGCGTTTAAATGGCTACCGCCCGTGACTTCCTCAAAGGTGATGGACAGAAGTTAAAACTCGTGCCACTGCTGCACGGATGGAGGGCAGTTCCTTTTCGAAGCTGGGTTTCTAGCTTGCGTGCAACACTTACGCGGGCTGACGGAAGACCATTCTCAAGACGGAGCCATCGCTGGACTCGTAAGTACCTGAACTTGACGACCCTACATGTTTACAGCCCTTGTAGCTGGAAGGGTAGAAGGTGGGCCCTTTGCACAACGGGGTCTCGTATGTATCGCAAGCCCACGGAGCGTTCGCCTGTCAATGGCGGGGGGGGGGGCGCTTGCCGCAGCGGAAAAGAATCATGGTAGGAACTCATGAGGACGGGACGGTGCATTACAGCGTTGCTGACGCATCCTGAGCTCAATATGGTTTTCTTCTTCTTCCAGCTCAATATGGTTTCTTCTTCCTCCTCCTCCTCCTTCTTCTCGTCCTCCCCCTCCTCTTTCCTCTTGCCTAACCAAAGGGCTGTGTCCACATTGCGGAGCCCCTATGTTAAAACTTGGAGGGGGGCCCTCAGATGTTGTCACTCACCGACTGGGCTGCGATCCACCGAGCCAGTGAGCCGCGACAGGGCCCCCTCCCCAAAACTAGAAAAACGCTGCTGGGGGTGGGAGCTCCATCTGGGGTTCAGGCTCGGGCCAGGCCTTGCTGTCCCTCGGGAGTCTCCCTGCTTCCAGCGCTCTGAGTATTCTCCCCCCCATGCTCCGAGATCTTCTTCAAACATGGTTTGGAGAGTTTGCTGGAGGTCGTGGCAGCATAACTCCCACAGTCACGGCAGCAGAAAGTCCCTCGAAATCTCTGGAGGTGACGGTGGGGCGGGTGAATGCGAGCAAGGAGCCCAGGGCATCCGGAGCGGAGCCAACACTCCGCTGTCCCCGTCGGAGACGTGAGGCGTTTGGAACAGTGCAAAGCTCTGCTGCTTGGAAACCCAACGGGACAGTGCGAGGTGGATGACGCGAGCTCCGCGAGGGCCTCTCGCTTGGCAAGTTTCCGTCCCTTGCCTTCACGCATCCCATCGTCAGCACGCCATAAATCTGAACAGAATTCATGGCAACGTAGTGGGAGGTGGTCAAAATATGCTCCTGGACTCTCGTGCTGAGCGAATCGACATGACTGACTTCTGCAATCGCCCAGCCAAGGAGTTGGGCTTCCCTGGCCGCTTTCTCTGCAAGTTCATCCGCCACGAAATTGGCCGCCCAAAACTAAAAACGGCGCTGGCGGACTAAATCAGCCTCATGGGACTTGATCTTGACAGCTCGAACACGACTACCCGCACACTCTTGCCAGAACAAGTCCCGAAAGGTAGAATTCTCGACATGGTGGTAGCGGGGGCCCGAAATAATCCGCAAACCACCGAATCATTGCCGCCTGTAAAAATGAGGTCCCGTTCCGTCAGCTGGGCCAAGCGAAAACACGCCCACAACTCAGACAAGGGAGCCGTTTGCCTGTAGGTGGGGAGAAGCCCCTTGGCCCATCCCAGGACATTCCCCTCAAGGAAAATGGCCGTCCCCCACCCGCATCTCCGAAGACTAGGGTCGGACGAGAAAGGGCCTCCAGACCCGTCGCCTCCGATGTAGACCCCTGGAGGGAGACAAAACTTATATCCTTGCAGCGAGTGGGGCAGCTTCTCAGTACTCTGGATCTCCGAGTGCTACGCGTTAAAGGTCCAGGCCAGAGGCGTGAGCCCGCGGAGCCAGGAGCACGGTTCGTCGTGGCACCCCTCGCGCGCCTCGGCCTGGAGATCCCAATGCAACCCTTCATCAAGGAGCTCGCAGGTGCAACGGCGTCCCCAGATCTGGTGGAAGAGCGTTTCTCCAACCCCATTGCACCTGGGACACATGTGACAAATCCATGCTTCCACACTGGGCGGGACGCTGTGGAGCAGGGCCTGGTCGGCCTCCTCACCAGGTGGGAGACCCTCCACCTCCGAATGGGGCTCCTCCTCCCCCAAAGGGCCCCTGCGGGGCCGCCTAAAGAATTACGAGAGTGCGGGGGGCTGGGGAGGACTTGAGAGGTGGAGGCAGCGGCAGCAGCAAGCGGGGCCTCACCAGCGGGAGGGTCGGCAGAAAGGGAGGGGCCTATCTTGATGCCCCTGCGGCTTTCACTGCCAAAACACCTCGCTGCTGGCCACAATGCGCCCGTGGCCGCCATTCTTAGAACACATGCTTTGTCATATCTTTCCGACGCCTGAGGGTATTCAGGTGTCGTCTCAAAGCTGCGCCCCTTGTGCCATACGCGTGGGAGCTGGCAGCACGCATCCAACATGTGTGATCCAACGCTTGCTTGATTTCAAAGTTCAGCAGGTGCTCCCTGTCAAGCTCGAGAATGTGTTCTGTCTCTCCCCTGGGGGTCCTCCAAGCGACTGGCCCAATGGGGCTCCCAGTGGAGGTCCAGAAAGCAAGCGACGACAGCACCGACCGATCCTTTCACTCGAGCCCAATGTTTGACAGCGGCCTGCAAATAGGCGGCTGCCTTCCGCCAAACGATTTCGATGGCACGCATACTGTCGGGCGTGTGGGACAAAACCCCCAGCCAAGATGTGAAAGCCTGCATTCTCCCCTGGATCATGGGATCCTCTTTTTCGTCGAAGCCCAATCTTATGCAAATGGTCGGGCATCCTCCTGGCTTCTTATTCCCAGTGAGGGCAGCAACCGAGCTCCGAAGCTTCAAAAGCGTGGTTGGGCTGAGGCATTGGGCCATCTGCCCATAGGTAACAGCAGGTCTGTACCCCGTCTTGGCCAGAACACGAGCCTGGGGGGCAGTCTGGACTCATTTTGAAATCTGCACGGCGCGCCTTTGTCCTTTGTGGATGCGGCTCTGAATTGCTGATGTCGCTCGCCTGGCCGTGTGGCCATCGATGCCGAGATCCCTGACCTGGCTGGGGCACCTGAGGGGCACTCCAGCATCTGCAAGGGCCTGGGAGATCTCTTTGGCGAGGCGAGGAGGGTAGGTGATGAGCGCAGATGTGCTGGAAACTTTGAAACCTGCTTTCCTGAACCAAGTGGCCAACGCAATCGCAACCGTCTTAGTGCGAGCATCAACGTCGGCCTCGCGCCCAATCTCGGTTTGCCCCAGGTCGTCCACGTCCCCTTCTCTCCTTCCCCCCATTGAATTTGGCAATGGGGGCATACAGCTCCCAATGCGCTGTACTTCTCAGGTGAACATATCCGTATGTATACACCCTTCCGCAGGTTTCCTCTGGCCGTAGCGCCTTGAGAAAGACAAGGGTTGAAGACCTGAGGCCGTTGTGAACATGCCCGTCCTCTTGAACCCGTGACTGCACGCAGCATCAAAAGTCCGTGATCTGTGAGCCATTGAGCCAAGACTGCTAACACCTATACAGCTATAACAACTCGCCATGACCAGGGGGCAATGGCTGTGAATGTTGATGAGATCGCCTGTAGGCGGATCCTCTGCTGCGGCCTTTCATAATTTCGGGGTGTACCCGTCACCCCTCACCCTCTGCTGACCTTCCTGGGCATCTTCTGACACTCCGCCTCCCTTCAAGGCACCCCAGAATGTAAGAACATCTGTTCCTCGCTGTTCTGCGGCGTCGGTTTCTGGATTGTCCCTGGGCTTGGTCAGCGGGCGGCGCAAACCCTGCGGTTTCGAGGCTCCTGCCACGCTGAACTGCCGGTACAAGCATCGGGGCACCGAGGACGACGAGACGGTGCTTGGTGGGTTTGCCTGCGCAGACAAAGAAAAAGTAGGTCTCAAACGTCATATAGCCCCGCTCCAGCGACTCTCCAGAATAGGCATGGGCGACTAAGAGCAAAGC